GGCCTAGGTAATCTATTGAGCCTTGGGCAGCAGATCAGTACCCATCCTGAGTATGCACACGGACTTTGGACTCCCATCCAACAACGTGAAGTACACTCTCACCCTGAAGTCTTGGGGAAGGGTCAAGGCCCTGCCCTATATGAAATGACAAACTATGGAAACCCCCATGGAGAGCCTCACCCTCTCTGGGGATAATAGGGTTGTTGGGGGGGCACGGGAGGAGGGAGGGAAAGGGAGAGGGCCCTGGAACTGACTTGTTAAGCAACCTTGTTTCTTATCTAAATTTAAACTGAAAAATAAATTTAAAAAAGGAAAATAGAGAGAAAATGAATGAATAATAAAATGAGGAAAGATGAAATAAGGAAAGCACAAATTGGTCTAAATATTGAGGTAAAATAGCTGTCAGAGGCCAGAAGAAAAAGAGAGGAATGGGCAAACATTTGGTTTGTCTAGTCCACTCGATAACTGGTTATTTAAAAGAATGGATTTGCATTAGTTTTCCTTAAAAATATGATTGAAAATACATGTGCCCAAAAGGGAGGTGAACTGCAAGCAGCAGCTCAGATTAGTTAGGTCAGGCATCCTCTTCATACATTGGGACAATGACCCTTGGTGAATTTCCTTGAGGTATTCCTGCCCAAAGGGCATATTTGGTACTTTAAAATGATAAGATTTTTACTATATATCATATAATTTGTTAAAGAGTTTTAAAATCAATTACTCTGATAATTGAACTACAAAAATAGTAGTCATTGGTCTGGTGAGAATGGGACTATCGAGACAGGGTTATTGGACTTTTTTGGATTCAGGAAGTCCAGTCTTTCTAATAAAACCTGTTAGAGTTTAAGACTGTGCCATTCCCTCAGTGACAGAAAGATCCTATTCTTAAACCTACTTATATCTTCTGAATATCAGTGTAGATATTTCTGAAATTTCTAATAAAATACATGAGTCAAAAAAAGGAAAGGGTAGAGAAGGAACGGGATGAAGGGAATTGAAGGATGGTGGGGGAAGGAATCATGGGAGGAATGAAAGAAAAAGGGAGGAAGAGAGAAGGAAAAACTGAAGCTCTCAATGATAATAAGAAAGTAAGTTTAGTCATGATTCACTCCAATGCATAAGACAGAGCCATGTATTTTCTAATGGTCATTTGTGCACATATTCTGGGCTAGAGCTGTCCGCAGTATACTATGAATTTACAGGAATCATGTAGGGAGGACAGAAAGGTGCTCTTGGTTTAATAATTTTAGGTAAAATTGTGAAGATGTCCCAATACCTGGGGGCAAACAGAAATTGTCACATCTGGGCATCACTAGCTCCAGCGAACACTAGATCTTAGCTTGGCAGTCACAGTAGCATGGGATAGTAGAGGACATGTCAGCCTGAAAGCAAGCAAGTTGTAATCATTACTCATAGGCCTACAGTTAACTATAATGCATATTGATGAACATATCAATAAATAAGAAAAATAATTTAAGACATTTGCATAAGCAATGTTTTAGGTTGGGCTATGCCAGTAGAAATGCAATGCTTAATCCTCAACAGCCATTGGTCGATGGTCTTATTTAGGGACAGGATTCTCAAGCATAAGGTCAGGTAAAGGGAAGTTTGTGAGTGGATAGTCATGTATGCTTTGAGCAGTGGAAATAATGAACCAGGTCTACTTGAGTATACTTTAATGTGCATGAAGTTGTCTTCCTCCTCTGGTTAAGCTACATTATTGAGAGGACGCGTGCTGTCATCTTACTGCTCAGGAGATGATACACTCAGGGTAGTAATGAAAGTTACTGACTGGTAGATGTTACAGCTCACACTACCCTGATGATGGAAGCAGATGCACAGACAGGGAAAGTGTTTACATTAGATTCAGGCAAAGAGTAATGTCAGCCTGGATTCTCAGAATCCGTTGCTTATATTGTAATCCTAATTCTTTCCTTTTAACTTCTCTAATTTATCTTATAAAAGAATAATGATACTTCTACATGCCAGAATTTGGGATTCAATAAAATTTTATATAGTAGAATATTTTTAATATGTGTAACTTGTTTATGCTGTGGAACATTTATTTAATGATGCAAAAATTTGATGTATTGTTTTATGTTGCATTTGTTTAATTCTTTGAAACTGTGTTACTTTACCTGTCCAAAACACCTTAGTGCTCTAATAAAGAGTTTAATGAATCAATAGGTTGGCAATAAAGGTTAGGCAAAGGCTGACAGGCAGGCAGATTAAATAGGTGAAATCTGGGAGGAGAGAAAGGAGGAGGAAGAAGGAAGAGAAGAGAGGACACCAGGGGCCAGCCACCCAGATACAGGGCAAGCCATAGTGAAAGAAGCAAAAAAGGTATACAGAAGTAGAGAAAGATCAAACACCAGAGGCAAAAGATAGATGGATTTGTTTTTTTAATTAGGAAAAGCTTGCTAGAGCCAGGTGGTGGGGGTGCGTGCCTTTAATTACACCACGTGGGAGCCAGAGGCTGGCAGATCTTTGTGAGTCGAAGACAACCTCCAAAGCCAGAGAGAAACACTGTCTCAAAAAACCAAGAAAAGACAGAAAAAGGAAAAGAGGAAACAAACTGTCTAGTAAAAAGTGAGCCAGTATCTCCTAGGAGATTTCACTTTCCTCCACTGTGTATGTGGATGTGCTTTAACTAGGCAGAAAGCCTCCTTCACTATGTGGCTGTGGCACTTGATCCATAACCACTCTGAGTGTCCTCATTTGAAAATGTAATGACTGTCCAATAAACAGGAAAATGTATCCATGACAGATATGGGATGCAAATGTATGTCATAAACACAAATCCAGTATACCTATTACTGTTTTCATGCAATAATTTATCTGAGTAATAACCCTAGAAACGTATGAAAATAAATCTCTAGGAGAAAAAAGCTAGAAATATGGATAATCCAGACACAGAATCAGATCAGCAAAGAATACAAAATTTTGAAAACAGGAAGTGAAACCAAACAGTCATTGGAAAGAAACAATTGATCAGCACGGGAGTTTTGACCTGCTCCGTTTCCAACCTGGGCCGGTTCACCCATCCTTAGGCAACCTGGTGCCCCCCCCCGCTCCCGGGATGTCACCATATTGATGCCGAACTTACTGCGGACACCCGATCGGCATAGCGCACTACAGCCCCGAACTCCTGGACTCAAGCGATCCTCCTGTCTCAGCCTCCCGTGTAGCCGGGACTACAGGCATGCGCCACCGCTCCTGATTTGTGAAGCAACCTCGTTTCTTATCTAAATTTAAACTGAAAAATAAATTAAAAAATGGAAAAAAAGAAACAATTGAAGGGGAAAAAGGACTAAATAATGTCAAGAAATGTCAAAATCTTAGGCTCACTAATAATAAGTAGGGATCATTGTGACTGGAAACACCTGAGAGAAACAACCTGAGAGAGAGTGTAGATTGGTCTGGTCTCAGGATTTCAAGGGAGTTCAGTAAGCACAGAGAGGAAGGCATTGCAGTAAGAGCTGGGGCATGAGACTGTGGCTCTTCACTCCATGGAGATCTGAAGTAGAGGTCAGTCAAAACATGGGATGGGATATTGAACTTGAAATGTCAGGAAAATCACATATCCTCCAAACATGCTACTTTTTAAAGAAACAAGTGTGATTAGTATATGGAAACTACGTTTGTTGTAGTCTTGTAAATTTTTTTCTATAAAATTACCACTGGAAGTTGTGTCATAGACTATTTAAACTGGAATTCAGTAGAGAAAAGAGAAGTAGCAGTTTAAGAAAGGATGAGAGTTTTAGGTGTGGTGGGACACACACACACAAGATTATAGACACACAAACACATAAATATTCTCAGCACCTAGGGAGAGGGTGCAACAAAGATGATGGAGATGTTTTAGACTAAAACAGTAATAAAATAAAGAGAAAATGAAAATATTAAATCACCTAGGCAATTAGACAAAAACCAGATTATTTTTTGGCTCTTCTCAGATGAGAACATGAAAAAACCCTAGCTCTAAAAGCCAGGGGAAAATAAGTAAAATATGGTAAGATGAGGCCACTGACATCCTTAGTATGACGAACCTCATCCAGGGATGGGTGGTCATATTGGAGATCTGGATCACTAGAAGAAGACTGTCTGGGATAATTATTAACTAAAAAGTTCTATATATTTGTCCCCCTCACAAATAAGGCCTGTCTGGTCTTCCAGATTCCACTGGATTCATGGATCAATTTTTCTCTACATCAATGGTCCTTCTGGTTCCATCAGCTGTCTGAACCCATCTACTCTTTCTGGCTGGTCCTCCTGGCTCCATCAGCTGCCAGTATCCATCTTCTCTGCATGCAATGTCCAGGATGGCCCCTCTGACTCCAACAGCAACTGGTTCATGACCTTTATACAAAGAACAGTGCCCATAATGATTTGGTCTTCTTGCTTTGGCCAAATATTTTTTACTTCCTCCCTCCCTTTCTTCCTTCCGTGCTCCCTTCTTTACTTCCTCCCCTTATTCTTTTTTGTGCAATAGTTTCAGACATATAATAAAATTTAGAAATTATTCCTACTGCCCTCTCTCATTCTTCGCCCTCTTGCTGAAACCACCATCCATTACTGCTGTCATGTCTTCTCTAATGTATAACTTGCTAAGTCAAGTTATAGTTTCTTGTCTAAGTGTTTGCAGGATGACATATACTGGGAAAAGGGCAATTTGTAAGGGCTGCACCATTGAAGCAAACGTCACCCATTCCTGAGCAACCATTAACAGCCAATTATGCCTCATGTAGGAGTAGGCCTAGGGGTCCTGTATCATCCACAATGTATGTTGACAAGGTGAGTCCTGAACAGGTCTTGTGTAGGTCACATTTGCTGTGTTATAATCAAAAATGTGTGTTGTTGCTGCTGGCCTTCTCCACAGTCTCAGCTCTTATGTATTTCCTGACAGCCTTCTAGATTGTTTTCTGAATCTTAGAAGTTTGAGATAGCCATCCCATTTAGAATACAATTCTCTAGCAGCACTGATTTTTGGTGTTTTTTTTTTTTGTCAGTGATTAGCTTCTGCATCACTCATCACTCGCTGGTTTCATTTTATACTATCAGTATATTGTGATCCAAATGAATCTCTTTCAACTGGTTTGGCCATGGGTTTTGTGACAACAGTGAGAAATGTAAGTACACACTTATGTTCCTTTAACCAAGAAACTCCTATGTCTAGCTGTTATCAAACAAGATTCTCAACAATGTCCATTGTGAAGTATCAAAGTCAAGTTGTCAGTTGTGGACCTGGAAGTGAGAAAAAAAATCTACTGTCATTATAATTTATTATTTATCCTTGTGCCCCTTAATCACCATATAGTTTTTTTCCTATAAGCAACAGCGGGTAACAAAGTCATGTCAAATACAGACCTAAGATTTCCAAACTCATTCTTTAAACGCAGTGGTTGGAGAAACGGTGACGCAGGAAGTGTGTTTATTAATATTTTTGCTGCAACATAATGAAAACTTTACTGTTAGCATAGTTTAACACATGTGTAAATGTGTACTACTACTTAAATCAAGAGAAGGATATAAACACATCAGAATTTTGAGGCAAATCTAGGTTATATGGTGATTCTATATAACAAAAACAAAAAAAATTCGTACTATAGACAACAAAGTCACAACTAATTCAAAAATTTTCACAAGTTTTCAGAAAAATTTCCTAATAAATTTAGTCTCACAAATATTGGCTGAACCACATACTCCACTATGTCTTTTATTCTACTCAATACTAAAATATACTATATGATATATTCTAAGCCACAGTGAATGTCCTGTCAGCATAAGAGAATAGGAATAAGATAACAAAGAAACATCTTAGAATCCTAATATAACGTAATTTGGCAAAGCTGAAACATAAGCAGATAAAACCCCAACCCATTAAGTATAATACTGCAAAGCCCCAGAAATTACATTTCCAAAATTGTATCTATTTTTCAGAGCATATTTCCATAGATATAGAATTCAGGAGCTTCAAAATAAGCTAGAAACCAATCTTTATAATCACAAGGAAATACTTTTGAATTTTTATAAAAATAAAACTTTATAGGAGCTTCACATAGCTGTATAAATGTGAGAATAAAAGCACAAATTGAGTTTGCAAAATGCAATCTAGCTTATTAAGCAGTTGAGATATAGAAAAGTGGTCTAAGAAGAATCCTTCCATAATGATCTGTTTTTGTGTACAATGAAGGCTCCTAAGGAAATTCACTTTCAATGTGACAATCATTATACAAATCTTAGTATAAAAATAATTAAATACAATAATTAAAATCATATTTACTGCATATAAGTGATTAATTAATGAGATGAATGCCAATTATACTGAAGGATTTTTATTCTTATTATATAGATGTGAGTATATGTTGTTTCCCCACTGGCCAGAAAAGGTGTGGAATTTCCTGGAGCTGAAATCATTGGTAGTTGGGAGCTATCATGTGGGTGCTTAGAACTGAACCCTCGTCTTCTATAAAAGACACAAGCAGTTTAACAACTGAGAAATAACTCTAGCCCAATACAGAATGACTTTTTCTGATTTTATCTTACTCATAGTCTCTCTCTCATTAAGTGTTGATAATGAATATTTTTGAAGAAAAAATAAATTTCTTAATGTAAAACTAGAGTGTGACTACTCATAAAACAGGAATGCACAAAAGGAGAACGTTACCTGAATTTTAGTTTTAGTCAAGAACTTCAAATCAGGTTTTCAGCCTTTCATACCAATGGTTAACATGGTTTTTCCTCTGTAGAATAGAACAGCTGAGGTTCACATCTTATTAATGTAATCAGATAAATGTGGGAAGCCTAAGGTGAAAGTGCAGTGCCATTTTCTTTCTTTTTTCTGTCATTTTGAGAAACATTTCTTTAAATTTAAAACAATATCATTTTACATACCAATATAAGTCCCCTCACTCCCATTCTCCCGTGGTCCCCACTGACCCCGCCTTCCCACCCTTATTCACTCCTAGGGAGTGTAAGATGTCCTTGAGGGATCATCTACATCTGTCACATCATTTGGGAGAGGATTTAGGCCCTCCCCCATGTGTCTTTGCTGAGAGATTAACACTCCATAGGCAATGTGCTCCCAAAACCCATTTGTGTACGAGGAATAAATTCTGGATACACTGCCAGAGGTCATATAGACTTCCCATGCCTCCCAACTGATACCCACATTCAGGAGGCCTTGTTGGGTCTTATGCTGGTTCCTCACCTGTCAGACTGGGGTCCATTAACTTCCACTTGCACAGGTCAGCTGTGTCTGTGGGTTTCCCGTGCATGGTCTTGCCCTTTCTACAACTGGATTCCAGGAGTTCTGCTCAGTGATTAGCTGTGATTCTCTGCTTCTATATCCATCAGTTACTGGATGAAGGCTCTAGAATGGCATTTAAGATAGCCATCAATCTCATTATAGGGGAAGGACACTTAAGGCAGCCTCTCCTCTACTGCTTAGATTCTTAATTGGGGTCATCCTTGTGAATTTCTGAATATTTCCCTAGTGCCAAATTTCTCTTTAAATCTATAATGGCTCCCATTATTTAGGTATCTCTTTTATTGCTCTCCTTCTCTATTCTTCCCCCAACACAATCTTCCTGATTCCTCATGTTCTCCTCCCCTTTTTCCCTCCTCTTACTCCTAGCTCTATCACAAATTCCCCATGCTCTAAATTTGCTCAGAGGAGTGCCATCTTCACTGCATAATTGTTAAAATGCTTACAATTAGGGTTAGTATTAATACTTAAGAAACACTATTTTGTAAAAGTGGATAATCAAATCTCACTTGAACTAATGTAAAGGTGAGAGTTCATCAGGATGTAGAGAAGAATGATCATGGATAGATCTTATGTAGACACATCTTGAAGTTCTTCATATGTCCCACATTCATTGATCAGTCCAGAGGACATCTGCTTTCTGCTCATGATTTCCCACAAGGAACTCTAATGTTGTTTTCATTAATTGAGATCTGTGAAACAATGTGCCCAGAATTCAAAAATAAATGAAGATATGGGCCTTGGGGAATATTAAGGACTGTCGATAGTAAATCATATGATGTATTATCTAGTGCTGTAACACCTAGTCACCCAGAAGTTATTCCAAATTTACAGAGGAAAAAACAGCTGCACAGAGGATAACTAAACTTGCTGAACTTGCAGTCTCTAAATGCTGAGGGTGAGCATTGTTGTCAGAAGTCATGAAGGTATCTTTTCTTACTTGTGCCTATTAATGAATTAACCAATTGATTTGTGTGGCGCCTGCACCACAAGCAACTAAACGGTATCAGGGAAAGAAAGACCAGACGTCCACTTGTTTGTACTAAGAGAATACCTGTGCTGCCTTTATTGCCAGGAGAGAGAGTGTGTGTGTTGGGGGTCTTCATTGCAAGTGCTAAGAGGTCTCTCTGTTTGTACTAAGAGAATGCATGTCCTGCCTTTATTGCCAGGAGAATGTGTGTGTGTGTCTTCATTACAAGTGCTAAGAGGTCTCCCTCTTGTTAAGAGGGAGAAGCTTTATATACAGGTTTACAGCACAGTGGAAAAACCCCAGGTAGAAGAGATCGTTGTTTTCCTCCTGCTGAATGATGATGTCAGAGGGTCAAGGCCGGAGCAGTAAGCCAGGACTAGAAAACAGAAAGCACATGGCCTGGAAAACAAGTTGCACTTGTAGGCTGACCAGCAACTCACAGAGACCCCATGGGGCTGGGTCCCAACACATTTGTGCCTATGTATTAATACTGGCAAAATCCTACAAATGTGACTTAGAGTTTGACCACTCATAATCTATGTCAACTAGCATTAGCAAAAACTAATTTTGCTTTCTTCCTTTGTGCTGCATATGCAATCAGTCTTTCGAACCCACAGATGCATAAAAACTCAAACAAGCAACAGGTAGAGTTGGAGCAAAAGGATTATTGCATAATTGACTTCTATTTGACGAAATCATTCACACAATAAGTACTGTTATTCCCTTTGTGGTGTGTTAATTCATTAATTCTAATTGTATGATCTCCCATTACACAAATTGTTTTAAAAGAGGAAATACACTAAAAAAGAGTGAATTATAAATACCTGAATTGTGACAAATTTTCACAATAATAAAACAATTAAAATGTAAATTAAAGCAATATGAAATGAAAGCACAGATTTATATATACAATGCAAACTAGCCAAATATATCTATTTGTAATTCAGATGAATAGGAAGATGACTGGGCTAATATGTGTCAGCATTAGATTTAGAAAGCTCTTCCCAACATATGAATATAAAATACAAAAAGAATTAACTTCTTATTAACTCACTAAAATTTTAATTGGTCATATGGCTAATTTAAAAAGAAAAGAAAAATTATATATATCCCACATGAGGGTAATATTTATAATTCTAAATAATATAACTGATGATTTACTGAAAGATTTCATGTAGCTAAATATTGCATTATCAGATATTTGCACAGAAAACAAAATTGGTACAGATGATTGTATATCTGGGTGATGGAAATAAATTTTTTTCCTTTAGGGATAGATATGGTAATGATGGATTTAAGAATAAATAGTTTACCAAGCAGCTGCTCATCGTGAAGAGGTAACCAGTGGCCACCAGTCATGTTCAAATCCTTTCTGACAATGAGTTTCTACAATTGAATGGAAGGAATCTTTATCAAATTTGAAATCCCATCATGTTCTTAGATGTACTATAATACCTTCTTGACATAAAGTGCACAACCCCTTTTTCTTATTCCTTTTTGTACAGTGTATATAATCTGTAAATGCTTTCTAATATGAGAAAATTTAAAAATTTGTGTTTTGTACTTTTCTTTCTCAAGTAATACACTTCCCTTTTTCATGTTAAATGCTTCCATATAATCAGTTTTAACTAAGAAAAGTCATTAGTCAAAGGGTTTCTAGCTACAGGTCTCATTAGAAATGTAGGAGACTAAAACAAGAAACGTAAAGGTACATTTACAACTTAGAATTTTAATTCATGAAGGATACACATTTGATGAATTATCTCTCCTGATTCAAGCAAGCCTCTCCTCACTCAAACCTATGCCCTCAATGTACAGTTATGAACTGCAAATACTGTCATATACGAAAACACATGTAAGACTATGTTTCTTTTGTATTGTGGAAATTGAACTAAGGGTTTTTTCCAGGATGTTCTAAGAATCACATTTCCCAATTTGTGCATTATTCCAGAAAGATCTTACTCACATGATAGAAACAGTCACCTCACCTTATAAGTAAAATGAATTTTTTGTGTTCTCACATCTAGACTCAGGATGTGTCCTCAAGAGCTCTTCTCTTGATGTGTCACAATCTTCTGTTATATCCATGCTTTTTCCTAACTGCTAAAACTGTAATAAAAGTAAGTTCATCTGGGCTCTGTGAATGAGCACAGTGTGCCATACATACATACAACTGAACATACATAACACAGATATAACATATATACAGATATATACACTGCCCTACATTCACTCACATATACACAAAACAAACACATGGACACCCACACACACATGCACACACACACACACACATACACACACACACACACACACACACACACACTCCCACTGAGGTGGGTGTGTGCTTTGATTTACTCATCGCAAATCCGTGATGGTCACCCTGCTGTTTTGAAAGGTGACATGACTGCAGTCCTGCAATTGGAGAACAGAAAATGTGGTTAAGGCATGGAAAAGTGTTGGGAAACAACTTACACTTTTTATACCAAAAGAGAGACTTGTATGTTCCAGGTTAGAACACATAGCCTTAGGATAACCAGGAGGGTCCTGAAATTATCCCCCTGCTTCTATCTCCCAGGTGATAAATTTTAACCAAACACCAGCATGGCTGATTTCAGCAGTGCTGAGAAATAGCTCCAGGTCCTAGCACTCAAAAGAGAAGCACTCCCTCAACGGAGCCACATCCCCAGTAGTAAGTCTGTGATTCAAGATGCTCCATGAAGGCAGATATTTCGCAGCCTAGAGGTGAAATCCTGATGTCATTAGAAGCAATGTCAAAAGATCTTTCACAAAAAGACAAACATGGTATGTACTCACTAACATATGGATTTTAGACATGGATCATGGGAGTGCCAGACTACAGTCCCACTGCCAAAGAGTCTGGGAAACAGAACCTTCAACCAATGACTGATGGAATCAGAGGCAGACAACCACAGCTAAACAGTGAGCTGAACTCAAGGAACCCAGTGACAGAGAGGGAGGACTACGGATCATAGGGGTCAAGCCTGGGCTTCTTAAAGCCATAGAAACAACTGACCTGACCAAGGGAGAGCTCTTGAACTCCATACTGATGGCTGGGAATCCAGCATGGGACAGATCCAGACCCCCTGAATGTAGGTGTCAGTGAGGAGGCAAAGGCAATCGATGGGGCTTGGGTAGGAAACAATATTTATCCCTGGCTTACAAATCGACTTTGGAATCCCATCACCCAGTGAGAGATACTCTCTTAGCCTGGACCCTTGGGGGAGGTCCTAGGCCCTGCTCTAGATGAAATGACAGACTATCGAAAAACCCCAGGGAGGGCCTCACCCTCCCTGGGCAAAGGAGTGGGGATTGAGGGATGGGGAAGGGGGTTTGGTGGGATGGCATTTGAGGAGGTGAGGGAAAAGAGAGAGGGAGCTGGGATTGGCATGTGAAACAACCTTGTTTGTAATTTAAATTAAAAATAAAAATACATAAAATAGAAATATAATAATAATAAAAAAGATCTGGCACCCAAGACTTCAACCTAGTTCTCCTCATTATCAGAGTCAGTGTCTCTGCATGGATCTTTGCTATCTATTTTCCAGACTCACTTGGGAAATAGTTCCTTATCAAAAGAGCCAAAAAGTTCAGTGTAGCTTTAGAGTCATTATTCCAATCAGATGGCAAAGGTGACCTAATAGGCCTTGAGGGGATGCTCACTTGGCATACACGTTCAGGGATTTATCAGTCTGAAACTCTTGACACAACCTCACATGGCCTCAGATTGGTAAACTCTTGCTGCAACTGAACAAGAACTGATGATGTGTGTGTGTTCCACCATGGCCAGATTCAGAAGAAGATTTTATAGTTAGGAAACAGGGAACTGGTGTTCCAGATAATTAATTTAAAAGTGCGCAGTATCTATCAATATCATAGTATATAAGCATTAACCATATCCCAATTTAGAGTTATGTGTTTTTGAACACATCTGCTAGAAAGTCCTTGCCCACATCAGCTGAAAACGCTGGTTTGACCCTTGAGACCACACAAT